AATAAAAACCTATGCACTTATCATCGAACGTCTGGGCTGTGACAATATGGAGCAGAGGCAGGGTAAGAATTCTGGCAGAATTTTGAGATATTGACCAGGAATGTTGGCAAGTCTTTGGTCCCAAGTCCCAAATCTGAGTCTGAGTTGTTGGTCCCAAGTTCAATCCCTTATTGAAAATAAGTTTTTTTTTTCCTCAGAGAAGAAGGGAGGGATGGGTGGGTTCTGAGTGGTGAGTTCAGTCCACATTGTTTGGTGGGGGGAACCCAAGTTGAGTCAACGGTGGGTGCTTAAGTCCGACCTGACAGCCTGTTCTGAGAAAAAAAGGGAGGGATGGGTGGGCTCTGAGTGGTGAGTTCAGTCCATGTTGTTTGGGGGTGGGGGGAAACCCAAGTTGAGTCAACGGTGCTACTTAAGTTTGACCTGACAGTCTGTTATTTGACTCAAGTCCCTATCGTTGAGTTTAACTGGAAATAAGGCTGATTGGTTTTCATATTCCTAACTGGCTCTGAAAAAGGCGTTGCTACTCATCCAAAGACCTGGAACATTGACAATCTATTTTGTGTTATATTTATATGTCATTTTATGTATGTACTTGTAAGCCGCCTAGAGTGGTCGTGAGATCAGATGGGTGGGATATAACTGTGACAACCCCAGACCTACTGGGATATGCCACAGTTTCACTAAGCTGCCACCAACCATTCCCTGTAAGGAGTCACACAGACCAGGAATGGGTTTTTAACAAATAAAGGAATAAGGTTTATTTAAATCTATAATGCAAACAATTCATCCTTCCAAATTACTTTAGCAAAACATAACAATAGCAAGAACAACAAAAAGAGAGCTCTAACATGGAGACTTCGTGCAATGCAGACTTTGGAACTCCCTCCCACAGGAGGCCAGACTGGCCCCATCTTTACTGTCCTTTCACAACCAGGCGGAAACCTTGCTGTTCAGGTAAACTCTCCCTGAGTGAATGGGTGACAAGCAGGGTTTTTAAAATAATGTTGTACCTTACTGCATTGAATGCGTTTTGGTGTTGCTTTTTTTTGCTGTTCAGGTAAACTCTCCCTGAGTGAGTGGCTGACAAGCAGGGTTTTTAAAATGATGTTGTACCTTAGTGCATTGAATGCGTTTTGGTGCTGCTTTTTAAAAAAAATTCCATTTATTGATCCTTTTAGCATTGTATACTAGTTGTTACCAACTTACATACTGTCTTTTAATTGTTGTAAGGCACCTCAGGTTCTTTTTAAGGAGAAAGGTAGGCTAAAAATATTTTAAGTGAATAAGTGAATTAAATAAATGCGCAGCTTGGCTCTAGAATTCAAGAGCAGCCTATCGGGGCAAGTTGGACTTCCAAACAAAATGGTACTGATTGTAACTTTTGATTCAACAGTCGATGCGACGGGCACCTGTTGTGCTCAGAGATTCCTTGAGCGATCCTTGTTCCACAATGGAATCGAATGACTTGTGAAGATCTGAATTTAACAAGCGGCCTATCTGACAAAAAAATTGAGCCATCCTTGATCAGACCAAAGGGCAGATCCAGTGCAGTTTTCTAACTCCACTGTAACCAGCTAGAAGCCTCTGGGAAGCTCATAAGCAGGACATGAGCAAAGTCGCACCTTCCCATCCCCAGCAGCTGTTTATAGAGGAATACAGAAGCTTCTGAAGCTTGAAGCCATTTGTCGAAAGGATGAAGGAATGGCCTGTGCTGCCACAACACTTTTCTCTCCCCCTGCATACGACAATTTTTAAAAAAGAAAACATGTATCTTGTAAATGCCGGAGGCTATGTACCTTACAGTGTGATCCACCATCACGCCTGAGCACATCATGTCAGGAAACTTTACGTGTGTTCATGTCCTTCCTGTGCTTATTTTGGAAGCGCATGGCTGAGCATTCAAAGTCAGAAAAAGTTGATTGCTCAAGTGCTGCTAGTCCGGGAGATGCTCCCTCTCCCCCTTTCCCTCTCCACAAATGGGTGGCTGTAGCCGTCCTCTCTCCCAAGAACTAGAGTGGGGATCTGAGCTCCCCGCCTGGCCTCCACAGCCAACCCACTGAGCTATTCCAGATCAATGTAGATACAATTAAAGAACAGGGGACTCTGAGCGCATTGCGGGGTTTTAGCGCTACGAGAACCAAAGTGAGTTCACAGTAGTTGCCACTGCTGCTCCTCCTGTCCTATTGATCACTGCCAATGCCTCTCTGATCTCGTCCATCACCCGTTTTCCACAATGGCCAACCTGATGCTTCTTGGAGACCAAAAAGTAGCGCCTGTCTCTTGCTATTGCTGTTCACTGACTCATAACAGAGACGTTTTGCTTCTTATTCTGGATATCATGTATAGGCATCGCCTTCCATGAATAAATCTAAGATCTTTTTGAAGTCTTTTAAAGCTGGTGGTCATTAGTGTACACCATGGTAGGAAATGTTGTGTGTGTGTGTGTGTGTCTGTGTGTGTGTCTGTCTGTCTCTGTGTGTGTGTGTGTGTGTGTGTGTTTCTTCCCCCCCCCCCCGAATTTCCTAATCTTCAGCTTCACTAGATAACCTTCAGCTCCACGATACCGGTTCTAGCGCTATGAAACAGGATAGAAACCTTCTCCCTCTTTGCTCTATTTTGACAATGAGAGGTAAACAAAAATGACCTTTCCCCATCTTTAATAATAACTCCTTTGTTTCTACAAATTGTACAGCTGACATTCTGAAGTCTGGAATGTGTTTGCTTGCCTATGTTTGGGAAGCACTTTTCAGCAGAAATCCCAAAACTAATGTAGTGTCTTGTGAGGTGTTTGTTTGCTACGTGTAGCCAAATCTTACAGTGCTCCTAATAGCCTTTTGAAGGAGTGGTACTATTCCATTCCATTAAGAAGTTCCATTTCCCAGTGAGTCCACATAGCAAAGCTGGGGAATTGAACTTGCATCACCTAAGTCCTAGTCCATTACTCTATCCATTACACGGCGTTGGGTGCCCCACCTTGTGAGTTACCACTTCATTTGTTTACTCTGTAACTTATGTGCTGACAATTGGCTTCCAACTTATAGCCCTTTCAGTGCAGGTGTGGTCTAAATAGGGTCACTTGAGGTCAGCGGGAGGAGAGTTATGGCTTTTGGTGCAATTCTCATGTCCAAAGGGCATATTTGGACAAGGGAATTGTCCAAATCTATATACTTCACATAAAGGCAAAGATTGTTTTGTTTTTTTTTTAAATTTAGTCTAAGTGTTTCAGCACAACAGCAGTGATCCAGCACAGGCAAAGATAATAACTTCATTTCCCCTGCCCTTCCACAGAGGAGCAGGGGAATTGTTCAATTTGTCAATAGGATGAACCGGTGCTAAGAATCTCGATGAGCTGTTATAATCACCTGTTTTTAAAATGGATTTGCCCCCTTCATATCACATACAGTGGACCCTCGACTTACAGACGGCTTGACTTACAGACTTTTCGAGTTACAGACTTCTCTGGCCACAAAATTTAGATTCGACCTGCAGCCAGAGAATCGACCTACAGACCAGAAAAAAGCCAAAATGGAACAAAAATGGAACAAAAATGGCTGGTTACAGGATTAATCGGTTTTCAATGCATTGTAGGTCAATGGAGACTCGACCTACAGACTTTTCGACCTGCAGCCACCGTTCCAATAGAGATTAATTCTGTAAGTCGAGGGTCCACTGTATTGTAAAGGCCTTTGGTTGGGAACAATAAAGTGGGAACAATAAATGGCCCTCTGAATGAGCCCTTAATAAATTTCCATGGCCAGAACTCTTCTGTTCTCTATCCACAACCTAGTACTGTAATGGCTCTGATTTATTTCTTAGCTCCATTATCCTATCCCGCCTTTCTGCCTTTGAGCTCAGAGACCAGCTAGGTCAGTGGTTCCCAACCTTGGGCCTCCAGATGTTCTTGGACTGCAACTCCCAGAAGCCTTCCCTCTGCTGGCCAGGATTTCTGGGAGTTGAAGTCCAAGAACATCTGGAGGCCCAAGGTTGGGGACCACTGAGCTAGGTGGCTCTCCCCCTCCTCCCCATTTGATTCTCACACCAACCCTTCGAGGTGGGTCCAGCTCAGTTTCAAGGCTGAGTGGAGACCTGAACCTGGGAGATCCACTCCCCACCGGGACTGCGTGCCATCCTTCACTCAGAGGGCAAGTCCTCCCCGCCCCCCCAGCAGGCAAGCAGGGTTAGTCATAAGCACTGGTCTCTCTCTCTCTCTCTCTGCGGGTGAGTGGGTGGGATGGTCTCCAAAGGGGATCCCCGGGCGCACAAGCCATTAGACAGAGATCCACAGCTTCGCCGCGCCTGGTGGGGAGGGCGCGCGCGGACGGGCGGGCGCGCGGAGAGTGGGAGGGGGGCGCTAGGTTTTTCTTTAAGTGGGCGCCAAGGGGGGGGCGAAAGAGCGGGAGCAGCCGAGCCTGACGTCACTGGCCCATCAGCTGACCGAGCTGGCGGCTGCCTTTCGCAGCAGCAGAAGCAGCAGCTCCGTCGCGGCGTCAGGCAGAGCAGCGCGCCTTGCGCTTCGGGGAGGGAGGGGGAGCGCGGACCCATCGCTCGGGCGCTCGCCTTGCCCTCCTCCTCCTCCTCCTCCTCGCCGCCGCTTTTGCCAGGGCCACCGGACACCGCGGCTCCAGTGGAGCGGACCGA